GATCCCCTAAATGCAATGTCCTCTCTCACCCCACTGTGTGTTCCTCCCCTGGAAAACTGCCCTTCAAGAGCTAGCTTCAGTGCAACTTCCTCAGTAGAATCTTCTCTAATTCTCTGGAATAATTTGTGGCTTCTTCCTCTGTGTATCCATAGATAATTTTTCTAAGTGATATTTGCCAGGTCATGTTATGCTTAATCTGTTGACATTTCTTGTTCCTTCTCATCTGCTAGACCGCGAGTTTCATGAGGTTAAGACTAGTTGTTCATCTTCACTTTGCAGCTAAAGAAAACTTCATGCAAAGCCTCCAGCCATAGTTTTCCAGAGAGATGATTGATGCTAAAGCCACTGCATCCTCTGCATGGTGCTCTGATGTTGGTGTTGGATGCTTCACTTTGCACAGGGCCACCAGGAGTGCTGGTGGTAAACAGTGTGAGTGCTCAGGTCAGGACACACAAACGGAGGAGACTCCTGTGTGCCTCATGCCGGCCTGCTCTTGAGGCTGCTGTCTTTGGGGCTGCAGGCCATGATTCTTTCCAGAAAACCATCTTAGTGAGGCTGGGCCTGAGAGTAGGGGGTGGATCAGGAATTCAGGGTGTCTTGCCGGCTTTCTTGGGGCCAGACACACGACAGATAGACCTGCTGTCCACTTACTTAGAGATCTTGTGAGGCAGGTGTTTTCATCCCCTGTTTCATAGATAGGAAAGTTGAGGCTTCACACATAATGAGAGTCCTGGTAGTGGTGGTGAGAATCTTTTGAGAGGCCTGGGATCTGTGCTCTCATCTCTCATTTCTTGGTACCTCCTGTATCATGGTGCATCTCCACAGGGCAGGCAGTCCCATGCGCTCTCTCCAGGGTCTCTGGTGTTCACATGATGCCGTGGAAGCAGTATTATGTAGTGGTTAGAGCAAGATCTTTGAAGTCAGGCAGAAATGGAGTTCAAATCCTGGTTCTGCTTCTCATTAGCTGTGTGAACTTGCATAGTAATTTTATCTCTCTAAGCTTCAGTTTCCACAACTGTAACATTGGGATGCTTGTCTCAGTTGGTTATTGCAAGAGTGGCTCATGTTTTTAATCCCAGCGCTTTGGGAGGCTGAGGCAGGAAGACTGCATGAGGCTAGGAGTTTGAGACCTGTCAGGGCAGTGTAGCAAGACCCTATCTCTAAAAAAATAAAAATAAAAAGTTGGCTGGGCATGGTGGTATACACCTGTGGTCTTAAGTACTTGGGATGATGAGGCAGTAGGATCACTTGAGCGCAGGAGTTCCAGGTTACAGTGACCTACAATTTTGCCACTGTACTTCAGCCTGGGTGACAGCAAGATCCTGTGTCTTAAAAAAGGAAAAAAAAGTGGTGGCTGCTACTATTACTATAATTACTGTTAATATTACTATTACTTCAGTGTTTTGATTTGTGCTTCGATTTGATGCAAGTCCTAAAGTTTGCGTCAGATTTTGGCCCAGCGGTGGTATTCCAAATCATGAAGAATCATGAAGTCATCTTGGTCCCTGAGGTGAATCTCAGGCCATTAGGAAATGTGGGGTGGAGCCCTCAGGAAGAAATCTACCTGTCCTCCTGTGAATCCTGGTTGATCCTACTGAGACCTTCCAATGTCATCCCCACTGGTTTCTAGGTTCCTGTTACTGCCCCAGTTAGAGTCACTAAAAGGGAGTTATCTGTTTCACCTTCTTCAGAAACCTCCAGGTCATACAACCACCCGTTTTGAGACAAAGGGGAATAAGTTGCAGGGTTGCAGCACAAGATACTGGCATAAAAAACCAATAGGGGCTGGTTTGTTGTCTTACTCATTCAGTAGATTTTTGAGTTCCCCGTGCCAAATGAATGCTGTACTGAGGTTCAGCAGTGAGGCCACCCAGCCCCACCTAGTGCCTTAGGGACTGCCATCTGTGTGGCTGAGTTGCAGAGGAGTAGCCAGCTTCTACTATGTGAGCAGTTCAGTGCTCCGTCCTGGGCTGCAGATCACACACAGAGAGGTGCCTGGAGTGCAGAGGGACTGCGGACAGGGAAGGCTTCCCATGAGAAGTATCTAAACTGGGATTTGATAGAGGAGTAAATGTTAATCAAAGAAGGATGAGGAGGAGTGTTTCAGGCACAGAAGGAATAGCATGGACAGAGTTTTGGGGGTCAAGGAGAGCGTAGGTTGTTGTAGGGTTAAAATGTAGTTCACTGATAGCTTGAATGGAACATGTAGGGTGAAGTGTGGCCATAATGGGACTGCAAGGCTCAGCAGGTGCTGGGGCACAGAGGTCCTATGAGCTGGGTTCTGTGAGGTGGACTTGGCCTTGACCTGGGAACCCCTCCAGCGTGTTAAGCAGGGGAGCGATGTGACCAGGACATTCCTTTAGAAGGTGACGACTGAGGCAGTGTGAACAGCTTGGGCAGGGCTCAGGGGAAGAAGGGAGGCTGGTTAGGACACGTGACCACGTTGTAAGGAGAAATTGTTGAGGTGTGAAAGGAGGCAGAGGAGTGGGGAGATGCGAGAGACACCCAGGAGTGCAAGCAGAGAGGCCTTTGGTGTTGCCTGAATGGCAGGGGGAAGGAAGAGGGAGGAGTCCAGCCTGCAGCCTGGGTTCTTGCCTCAGCAGCAGGTGGGCAGAGGTGCTGTCTACTGACCTGGAGACATTTTGAGGAGCAGACCCCTGAGAGTGGGAGGTGACTACAACTCTGGAAAGCTCCAGAAACTTTGGAGAAACCCCCTGATGTTCTGTACCTGGTTTGCTATCCATAGTGGGTCTGGCCTTCCCTCAGTCACCTCAGTCACTGTGATTTAGTGTGTGACTTCCTATGGGGGCTGCACATTAGAACCACCTGGAGAGCTTTTAAAATATCCCAGTGGGGAGGCCACACCCCAGCCACTGAACCAGCACCTCCTGCGCTGGGCCAGGCATCAGTGTTGAAAAGCCTCACAGCAACCCCAGCCATCAGCCAAGGTGGAAAACCACTGCTCCTGCCAATCCCTGTGTTTGGCACCTCACAGATAGGAAAAGTGGGGAGGAAGGGTGAGGTGGTAGTTAATAGCTGGTGTTTTATTCTCTAGAAGGTGGCATCTGGATGTTCATGGAGGCCTGCCAGCTATGGTGGGGGAAGGGGCAGGCATTCTCAGAAAGATGGCTGTTTCTAATTAACTTGGAATTTGTGATACTCGGACAAGGCTGGGCCTCAGGCCAGTGTAATTTGTACTTTCTCTGAAATGAAGGTTTACATGCTATAAGCTATAAGACGGGAATGGCTTTGTTTGGTGTGCCAAGGAGACATACCCTTTCAGGGTTCCTCCATCTGTTTTCTACATGGAAATTAATGATTACACAGAAATTTTGCTTGTTCAGGGCAAGTTCAGGTCCCTTATCACGATACAGTTAATCATAATTGAAACTTTAATTTGTTTACATTTACATGATGGGTAATATCTTTCAGTGGTTTAAAACACCACCTCAACACACAAATTGGCTCAATGGTGTAAGTATTATCTTTTTAAATAAATGGGGTCTATTTAATAGAGGGGGGTCATGGAGGTTAGATAGTAGGAGTCTGCTCTTTACACAAAACATGCCTGCAACTCAAGTTTTCAAATTACATTGATTTTTTTAAAAATCACTCTTCATATGTGAGACTAATAAAATTACATGCATTTAAATATTTCATAATTATTTTTTCCAGTTGCAATTGGTCTCCCTTCACTTGGGCCTAATTGGGAAGATTCAAATAAGCAAATATTGCCTTAATGAAATTTAAAACATATCCACAAAGACTAATGTTTCCCTCAGTGTTCCTGGGACATCCCACTACCATAAACCTCAGGAAATGGACATGATGGAAGTGTGTACCTTTTATTTGTTCTGTAGGCCAGATATCATGCCAAGCACTTTGCATCATTATTGCAAGTCATTGTGACCATCCTTCAAGGTAGGTGCAAGTGGTCTTGTTTTACGGATAAGGAAATGGACTTGGAGAAGCTGAGTAGAATGTGCAAGGCCACATAGCTGGTGAATGCTAGAGCCAGAATTTGATCCCACATCTGCTTCAGAGCCTGCCCTGTTGACAGTATCTTCTCTGCCTTTAACTTCCTGGTGCTGACCTATTCTTTCTCTCCTAGATACTGAAAAGGCTTCTCTTGGCTAGCTCAATTTGATAATTTGCTAATAAAGTCAAGGTTGTGGGTGGTTTTGAGTCTCAGGAGACAACATATGTCTTGGCCAGAGTACAAATGGAGCATCATATGCCAGTTCATATCCCCAGAAGAAAAACCCAAATGCAGAGCATATTTTTGGGGAAGAAACCTCAGACTCAGTTTTTCTTCCCCCCTGGGAAAAGCATAAGACAGTGGGTTACTTCCCTCCATGCCAGCTTGGGTGGACTGACCAACACAGTCAGAAAGTCCCCAAGAAGGAGCTCTTTATGGTGGTGATGATCCTTTAATCAGCCAGAGGGGCAATGACAATGCTATTCATTGTACATATTTCCTGGGAATATAAATCCATCTTTCTCAGGTTTGAGGACCCCTCAAGCTATTTTGAAACTGCAAGGCAAAGGAATTTCTTTGCAGAAATGTAGAACGTGTATTACTCTTGGCCTCGGATGTCATCCTGGGGTTTTTATTGAATTTCGCCCTTAGGACCAATGTCACAGGCGATTACTCATTTGAAATTCTTGTGGATGGTAATCATGGCTGAGTGTTTGGATTTAATCACGAGTTTGCTAGCTGTTCTGCAGTAATGACATAGATCACTAGAGCACAGTCAGATTTCTTCCCACCTCCGTTATTCCACCCCATAATCTCATGTCCTTTCCCATGAGCTTAGTGAATTGTTGGGACCTTTTCAAAGGAATGATGGGAGGTGACTTAAGCGAGAATATCTGGATGACCTTTCTAATGTTATGATAATTTGAAAATTTGAATGAATTATCAAAAATGTATACATTTCTTCCTATTGTTTGATGTGATTCTTTTATTTTTTTCTCATTTGTAATGCTTTCGTACTCAGGAAGTTGAGGTAGGTTTTTGATTTTTCAACTGTATGTAGACATAGCATCAAAATAGTTGCCAAATAAAATGTAAATTTCATTCTAAATCTTAAATCTCAGTAGTAAATATTTGTTTTAGTTCAGTGAACCAGTACCACACACATTTATCTTTCATTGGTATATCCAAGGGATGCAATTTATCAAATGCATATAAACAGTCCATTTGCTGCTTTATCTTTTCTCATTAGTTACAGTACAAGTATGATTGTCAGTTATTATCTGTGCTTTACTGATGGGTTATTTATTGAAAGAGCGGAGCAAGTGACATTGTTATTTTCTGAATCATTTTGTCTAAGACCTGCAGGACTTTAAACCAAATGTCAGACCAATTTATCAAAGAATTGCTCTATTCAGGATGAAAGTGATTTACAGTGTGTGTATAAACACACACCCACCTGTACTTACACACACCAGTAATAGTTACGGGAATTTCACAGGGATACAGAGATGTTAGTAAAACTGGAACTGGTTACTTATATTTGATGTAATTATCAAGGATTTACTGCATGCTTTTAAGTGACATCTTAGAGGATATGCAGGTGAGTAAGACCCATCTCCGCTCAGAAGCAGTGTAGACCCATGTGTCTGTGCGTGGGTGATTTGTGCACACAGAAATGTATTAATGCAGACAGCTCCCAGTCCCTGTTGCACAGGGCTCTCTCAGGTGGTAAATATGGATGGAAGGCTGATAAGCCTCAAGTCACTGCCCAAGCTGGGTTGTTTCATCAGAAGGATTCTCACTGGGGGTCCTCACCAGAGATGAGGAGGAGACAGCAAATTATTTGCCCAGGGATGTGAATGAAAACAGCTCAGAGGTAGTGTAGTTGTGTGTGAAGCTAGCTCTTTTCTCAATAAATGGAGTGTGTTGTACCTTATAATAGTTTGATTAGCAGAGATTTCGTTCCACACAAAATTACAGGCAAATGTCACATTATATAATGGATGCATTTACATAATGGTCTGGAAATCTCACTTTTCTGGTGACTTCTGTTGTTATTTTGGGGACATTTCTCCCACCCACCAATTAGACCTTCTTCCTATTCCCCCAGTCAAGTAGTGTGAAGATACACGGAAGCAGTTTGCACTGAATCCCCTTGAGAGCAGTTTGGCTGCAGTCCCTTCATTGATCTCTCTCTAAAGGTTGCAGTTTTGGTAAAGTGGGGTCTGCCTCCACCTGGGATCTACAAACTCAATTCTGATCCACTTAGCCTTGCAGGGAAGTGCTTCTGCGTTTTGTGTGCATCTGCAGTCAGCCCACAGACAACTCCAAAGTGACTGCCTGCCCTCCTTTAAATTTGCTTCCTTCTATTTATGTCTCTATTGCTCCCTCCCGGTCAAGACAAATGTGGCTCCCATTTATTTTCTAGGATGGTAATTTGTATTAATATTATCTCAGGTAATCATCAGATGAAACGACAGGGTTCAAACATCTTAGCTAAAATATGTATGAAGGAGAAATGATCTGTTTTATGTGAACTAAGTGTGTTTGATCTGTAGCATCTGAAGCTGTAGTATGTAATATATTACATCATCATCTTCATAATTGGGTGCCAAGGCAATTGGGTTTCCATTTGGTTCTGCCACCCTCTCTTTTCCTCAGAGTCAGCTTTGACATTCCTTGGAGATTAAATAGGCACCTCTTGAAAGGCAAATCCCTGGGGAATATTTGAGCTAAATTGCATCAGTCATTTTGGGGCTATGGTATAGTAAAAGAAAATTCAGGTTCTTATTTAAAATGAGCTGGAACCATAGACTGCAGTTGGTTATGATCATCCATGATGAAGAGACTTAATCACCCGAATTATAGCAGGAATATTTTGGCATCATTTCATGTTAAGCAGACTTAAATATTTTATTGGAAGATGCGTTATAGAGTGGAATGCTCTTGGCATATTTATGGGTATGAAAAACATATAGTAATATAACAAATATACTCTTTACTAATATATATATATATATATAAAATGTGTATATATATGTATATATAAAACATTATTTTCCATCAATGCTTATCAGAACGGAATACTCTAAAATATTAATAGGTAAATTCCTCTGCACCAGCCATCAAGTGCCAGTAATTTAACAGAATTCAATACTATGTTAGTGGAATATTTAATAAGTGAGATAAATGGAAAAATACAATTTTATCTATGTTGATCAGTTGTAGAAAATAAAACAATAACTGGACGCTTAGTTGCTACCAGCCTCTGATTCTTTCTCTCCCACTAACACCAGCCCTCCTCCCTCATCCCAGACATGGATGATTTGGATGATTTGTCACTTACCATGATCTTTATGTTGACTTTCTTTTTTGAGACAGAGTCTCACTCTGTCTCGCCCAGGCTGGAGTGCAGTGGCTTGATCTTGGCTCACTGCAGCCTCTGCCTCCCAGGTTCAAGTGATTCTCCTGTCTCGGCCTATCTGGAAGTTGGGACTACATGCATGTGCCCCCACACCCAGCTAATTTTGTATTTTTAGTAGAGACGGGGTTTCACCGTGTTGGCCAGGCTGGTCACAAACTCCTGACCTCAGGTGATCCAACCACCTCAGCCTCCCAAAGTGCTGAGATTGCAGGTGTGAGCCACTGCACCTGGCCGTATTGACTTTTCGTGAGAGTTTCTGCTGCCCTAGAATCCTGCATGACTATAGTCCTAAGTCAATGTGCTTAAGTTTGAGCCTCTGTTTACATGTATAGGTTCTTTCAGATTTTAACAACCCCTTAAAAAAGGGTAGAATAATATTCACTTATGAAATGCTACAGTGAAATGTAATCAGTCTTTCCTCATATGGGTCAGTTAGAATTTACAGCAAAACTGTTCTCTGCCCTGTCCAGAAGAGTCCTGACATAATTATACTTTTCAGTGTAGCCCATAAAATACACGTGTAGTAACACTGCCATCCTTCATTCCTCAACCTGTAGAATGCATTAATGGGACTTAATAAATGACTGTATTTAGATACGCATCTTTCTGTTTGCGTTTATGTTTAAAAATTAACTGTTGCTGGGGTCCTTGCAAATCTTTAAAAAAGCTTTATCATTAGATGATAAAATTGCCACTCAAGAGGCTAATTCAGATAGATATGCCTCGCCTGGTAAGTTTGATCTATCCAATATATCTTTTACCACAGTTTGAATTTTAACAAGCCATAACTTTATTGGGGCAGAGGGAAGGTCAGAGGCAAGGCCTGTTAATGTCCTGCACTTTGTCAGTTTCAGGGCATAAGTCTGGGGCCCAATAGCACTGGGGTAGTCTGGGGGCAGACACACTACTTCCCAGGGTAGAAGTGATAAAATTATTGACAGCATAGTGAGTCATGGGTCTGTTTGTTTTAGGACAATGCAAAATAGATAATATATGTTTTTATTTAGATAGAAAATAAGACTTTTGTTTTGAAAAGCCTGGTTGTGCTACCTGAGTCTTAGGCCCTGGAGAAATGCCCAGGCTTGGCATTGGTAGGTGTTGGTTCAAGACCATTGACAGCTATCCTTATGTCCTTTGAGCACCCCAATCGTTAAGTGGGACCCACAGATGAACAAATTTTCAGGAGGTGAAGTTCTAGAAGAGACATTGTTTTTCTTTTGTCTTTTCTCTTTGGCTTTCTCCACTTGAGTCTGGCCTGTGCCTCACCGGAATTCTCCTAGATGCAGAGTGACTTAATTGATGCAGCCCAGCCTGCTTGTACTCACTGTGTGTGGAAGCCCTTGAACCTAGCTAGGACAGTGTGCAAGAGTGATCATGTATGCTCCGGCACTTATTCCCTGACCTGGACTGCAGCAGTGGCTGCTCAGAGCCCCTTACCCCATGCTCAGTGACCATCCCCCAGGTGGGCTCTGGTGCCTAGAATCCTTCACATGTGTTCATGATCTTGGCCCCTGATTTGAGGTTTCCTCCCTAGGCAGTAGCCAAAGCAGTGACACCTAAGGTTTTATCAGCTCTGGCTCATTGGTTTTTGCTTTGGCAATCCACTTTCCTAAGGCAGGGCAAAAGCAATCAGATCAGAGAATCATTTTTCTTCCTTGCTTGGCCTGGCTGGGCAAGTGGTTGTTTGAAGGACTTGTTTTGCATAATGAGTTTTCACTCAAGGTGTACTTTCACATTTTGGCAGCAATTAGGCAGTATTGTTACATTTGCAATGAGTTTTAAATATTCTAATGCAGATAGCTACTTTTGGAGGCCTTATACTTAAAACTGTGATTTTTCCTAGGAAATATGTAAAAATGGCAATTACAGTTAACCTGAAAAAGTGACAAGGTCCAGACAAATGCTTCAAATTCCATCCAAGTTATAAAGAGTTATAAAGTATGTTGAAATCATTAGGGAATATCCAGTTCTTGAGACTTGCTGAAGCCTTTCTTTGACATCAAAGAGAATGTGGCCTGTGAAATTAAAGTTAAAGGAACCTGTCTTTGGTTCCAGCCCTTCCCTGTTGGACATACAGCCTAAGCTTCCAAGGGCTTTCTCTCTTAGAACAGCATGTTCAAGTAGAAAATATTTCACACGATTCCACATTGCCAGTAGACATGATGCCATCTTCTGTATGTGGAGAGAGCATTGATAAACCACAGTTGGAAGGATGAACGGTTTGATCCTTTTTTTCTCCACTGGTGGGAATGAGTTCATCTTCCGTTATCTCTTCCTCTGCCCTTGAGAATAGCAGAATATGTTGGTAACATGGTTGTCTAAGGCTAAGAACATTTTGGTCATCAAACCTAGAAATTGGGTGCTAAATTTCCTATCTACTATTCAACCTTTAACTTAAAATCATTTTAACAGTGGCTGCTGAGTTTCTGACAGCACAATTCCAAAAGTCTGAGATTGTATTTAAAATTATAAATGGGGAGGGAGATTACAGAGAATTTTCTCAGTGATATTTCATGGTATAGTGCTCAAAGACTTCCTACCCAGATAGGTGAGAAGGCCAGTTATTCTATAAAATTAAAGCTAGAGCTAAGTGGGCAATTCTTTGAAACTAAAAATAATTTAGTGCCAAATCCTCGGGTTCCAGAGGAAACTGTTTATTTCCTGATGCTTTGGAAGATGGAATCACTGGCCAAGAAACAATATGTTCTGATTTTACTCTAAATCTAGTTTCCTAAAATCTATTTAAGGGCTTAGGTGAACTCAGCAAGGATATAATAAAGCTACATAATTGAATGACACTGAGGCTGATAAAATTCACAGGAGATCGTGTCAGAGATAAACTGCATCAGAAGACAGCATGGACAATAATTTAAACTAATTGTGCAGTTCAATGTAAATTAGCTTTTCCAGAAGAGATATTGGGGCTTCATTTTGGTCAGCTTTCTGAAACTGTAGCATGCAGATTGCCTGCCAAAAACACATACCCTGTATAGCAAAGAAATTGAATATTAACTAAAAAGGGACAAATCCTTCAGGATGGTATGGGGATAATGTGCATGGGTGACACCTGTTGAACTTGCAAACTGCTCAGTTTTGCTGACAGAGTAGGTGTGCCGGGAAACAATGGGGTCAAAGAGTGCTGATTGGGAGAATGAAGGGAGTAGACAGTGGCCGTTTGGAAGGAAAGGGTTATTAGAAGTGGGGAAGAAGTTAATATCGCTATGAAGAAGTGAGTAATTGAGGTCCTTGCAATTACAAAGCAATGAATTGTCTAGCCTCAGAGCATAAACTGATGCAACCCAAATGCAAGAAAGACATGGTTATGAAGAGACCAGATTGGCCAGCCTTTGTTGTTTCATCTTTCCATGCCCAGAACAAATGGTATTAAGCTTAAATGTGCACCTTTGGTTAATTCTAACATTTGAAAGGCCATCTCTTTTTAGGTTTTGTGAGTATTGAAAAACTGGAACTGGGCACCACAAGATGCATGTCTCTATGTAAAAGAAATGTTGACAGTTGAATCATCAGCTGTTACAAACACAGAGGCTTAATCATAACTGAGAGCAGCAAGGCATCACCTACAGTATAATTGGTAGCAAATACACCTTGCACTTAGAAGGCATCTGGCTTTATATGTCAAACCAAGAAGAACAGTGCTGTTTCCATACTGGGATGAAATGTTTTTACTATTCTCAGGATTTAATACATACAGCTTGAAAGACAGGAATTTGAAAAGTAAATTGATATTTTTTTATTGCACATTAATGCCTGTTTTGGGAAAAATGTCTAAGCTTTCAGTGTTTTCCTTTGTGTTTTGGGAGGTGAAAAGAAAGGCAGGTTCTTATGCAGTTAGGTGAGAAGCTTCTTGAACTCTGATCTTTGTTTTCTATTTTTTTTCCTTATATAGGATGATTATTTCAGAAACTGGAATCCCAACAAGCCCTTTGACCAAGGTAATGGATGCAATATTTCTTGCTGTATAGTCTGTGGTAAATGTGGTTTCATTTTTTCCTTCCTTGTTGAGTTAATGTTCCCACAAAAGCCAGCTAGCTGTGTTATTTTATTGACTTCGGGGACTGAATTGACTGGGGTGGTAGAAATTATTTTATCCAATTGGTAATTTGTCTGAGGTTATGCCTAGGACTGATTTAAATAATTTCTCTTAATTGGCTTGACCAGCATAATCATTGATTGGTTTTGTTAAAAAAAAAAAAAGTGAAATTTGATTATCAAATTAACATGGTGAATTGTGGGGCTGAATACAGTGCTTTCATTCATGGAGCTGACTTTGCCTGGAGATGCTTCCCTAATTCACATGAGCCATAAACATGAAACTTTCTTTCTAGAAAAAGGTTAATCCTGGGAGACTTTCAAGGGCACTGCTCTTTCATTTGTTAAATAACTTCTTCATGGTTTCTAAATAGAAGCCTGTTTCAGAGTCAGTTCAGTGACTACGTGGGTTTAAGCATGGCCCCCAGAAGACTTTCTTCACCTCCATTCCCCAGCAAGCATCAAACCAGTCTTATGATAGCGGTTGTAAATCACTAGCAGTGTCTTCCTGTGAGTTATTTAAGACACAATGAGGACCTGCCATGAATCACATCCCTTCCCCCATTGTTCCATGTGTGGTGCTGTTGAAAATGATGGTAGATTGCACTTTGTGTCTATATGCAATTAATGCCAAAATGCAGTGAAACAGTATTACCTACCACATCTCAAAGTGTCCATGTTTCTGATAATCAGCTTCATGAGTATTCTATGTGATCATGTTGGTCAATTTGATATGAAGAAATCAAGGGAGGCAATGACATGTAATGTGGAAGAAGGTGCTCCTTTCTGCCATCTGCTCTGTCAGTTTAATAGGTCACTACCTCTGGACTCTGGTTTTCTCATAAGCAAAAATAGTATTAGTTTCCATATATACATTTATCATATGCCTTGAAATAATGTAACATTTTGTTCATTCATACATGCATGCATTCATTCTCAAACATTTATTGAACTTTCGCTGTATGTGCAAGCACCAAGCCAGGTACTGGGGATAGAGCAAAAATGCCGTGGTACCTACCTACAGGAGCTCAGAGTGGGGAGTAGGGAGATAAATCAGTCAACAATTGCAGTGGGATCTGTTAATGGCTGTGATGCAGGTGTGTTCATGGAAGCATGTGAATCTATAGATGGAGAAGTGTGTATGTGTGTGTAAAGGGCAAAGTGTCCAGCAAAGCTTTCCTTCAGAGGCTCTGTCTGGACTATACACATCTTAGTAGCCTTAGACTGGAAAAGGAATTACTCCTTTACAGTTCTAACAATGACTGAATCATCACAGTGTTTCACTCAAAAGCATATGAAGGCGTTTGTAATTTAGTTTAGAAATGTTCTATTAAAAGCGATCAAAAATTTTAAAACTTTTTAAGAGGATAAAACTTTATGACGAATACTGGTAGTTAAAGAGCAACAAATTCCCTGTCTGTACCTGATGAACAAGCCCTTCTGCGAACAACCCTACCAGGCTTTTGCTTGCAAAGGTAACTCAACTGACAGTCTCTGTGAACTGGTTCTTTGTAGCCAAGAACTAGAAATAGGTTCTTGTGCTATAAGGATCAAATGTTACCTAAATAACTGTCAAAATTACTCTTTCCCAAAGCTTGAAAACCAATACACACACTCTCCCAAGGGAAGACATTTTTACTTTTACTAATGCACATTGGAGAAGGAATAAATCAAGGTAAGTGTCATTTGCCACTTAGGATATAAATGATAGCATCCCTTGGTTTGGGAGTTAACACAGAAATTTCGAGAACCACAAAAACACAGCCTTTAGATCTGTGTCGGTAAACAGTCCAAACTCTCTCCTAGGAATGATGGCAGCTATATCCAGCAGAGCCCCATCCTGTTTCCTCTTTTTCTAGCTCTGCAGGCTTGAAAACTGGGTCTGCTCAAATTAATCCTCCCAGAAAACTTTATGACTTTATGGGATATAATTAAAGACCTTAGCCGAGTAGCCCCACTTTGTACCTCAGGGGTAGCTGCTGTTGGCTATTTATATACAGAACCATGGGGAGTGCAGGCAGAGCTGAGAATAGCCTTCACTCAAAATATCAGCCCCAGCAGATGTCATCAATTACGTTGTGTGCGGCTCAATAAAAATGGGAGGTTACTCTATCAGCACTGACACCACTTGGTGAAATATAAACCACAGGCATGGAAGACGTAGAGCATTTCATCTTCCAGAAAACAGGAGAATTACTGAACTCCAGTGGAAGTTGTCAGCCAAAGAGAGGAGTCATTTCCTCTCCTGAGCTGAAAAAAGAATCAAACATAGTTAAAATAGTTTTGTGGTTGGGGGAAAGTTTTAGTTTGTAGAAATAGAACTTGTTGAAGAGTGTCGTCAGAGATTCAGATGACAAATATGGTTTAGGATGAGGATGGAAGGGGCTTCATGATGGAGGTGGGTGTGGAGTAGGCTTGGAATGTAGACGGAGCGGAGGGGAAGGAAGGCCCAGCATAGGGAATTCTGGTAACAGTGTAGTCAGAAAGGTGGATTTGAAAAGGGTTGAGGGAATATTCCATACCAATCTGCCGAGTTTGAATTTTGTTTTCTTGGCAGTGGGGTGCCATAGAAAGTCTTTGAGTAGGGGAGTGACATGATGAGGTCAGTATTTTAGAGGATTTGGTTTGGTGACTCAACAGCTATAATTAGGAACCCAAAATATACTTGCTAAATGATGTCACTCCCATAGGACTCTTGAGTAACTTCAAGGCATCATTCATTGCCTCGGAGCCCTGGGCTCTGGCTGTCATCAGTGGTCCGGCTTATTAATTCAGCTCTCCAGCTAGCTTGACCTCTGAAATGCCCATGCACCCAAGCACCTTCTGATTGTCATGTTGGTATGGTGAATAGTTAGAAGACTCAAAGTATTCAAGAAATAGTTACTTAGCTGTAATTTCTCTCTCTGCTTAAAGATACTTACTGAACTTTGAACAACAGGGCTTCATGGAGTGAGTGCTATCATCGTGTAATTGACTCTAAGGCAGTTAGAAGAAAAGTATCCCACCTGGGGCTCTCCAGTGATGAGACTGAGAATGTCTTTAACTTGTTGTCTTTAAGTGAATCGTTAATGCTTCTGTCAGTGGAGTATAATGGCTATCAACATCAGACTTTTCTGAGATTAGGGTAAAGTCGCGTAAATAGTATACCCTTTTGTCTTGTAATGATTTAATGCCAAATCTCCTCACAGAAAGGATGGACAGGAGTTCAGAATTGAAGGCAATGATTTACTCAGGTGAGAAATTTCCCTTGTGCAGCTCACAAAGAAAGATGCCCTGTGGAGAGAGTTGGGCAGGCTGCACAGTTGGAGAGAACCATGGGCCAGTGCAAATGGGCTTCTTACTTCATAGTCAGGAGAAATGAAGGCCCCTGGATGGAACTTCAGAGGGCTGGCTGAGGGCACTCTGAGGTGATTCCAGAGTTTTTGGCTGCCTCTGCCACTTTTCCCTGCCAGCATCCTCCCTTAACTGGCCCCTGACAAACCCGGGAGCACATATGAAATTAGTGCTTCTCAGTGGGGACCTGGGTCAGCAAGATGCTTCCCCAAGAAAACCATTCATGGTCAAATAAGGGACACACATATACCCTCATCTCTTGGAGACTCACAGTGCTCATTACCAACTTAAAATCTCTGAGGAGTATTTCAGTAAAGAAACCCGTTTAACCTACAATTTTCCATATTTGCTTGTGATCATATTTTCAACTTTTTTCTGCTACACACCTATCAGGTACTCAGAGGAGGTACTGTAATGTATTTGGCAGGATACACTTTGGTAAGTGCAGTCTGGGATCTTACAGTTTGAAGTCAGATTCTCCAAGTTTAGAATTTGACTCTGTCAGTTACTAGCTGTGTGATCCTGGGCACATAGCTTAACTTCTCTGATCCTAAGCCATCCTATCTGGAAATAGCAATAATGATAAGTACTTTCAACAATAGCACTGAGAAGATGAAATGAATTAATATGCCTGGCATGTAGGAAGTGCCTAACAAGCGATCAGTAAGTCATTGATTGTTTTCATTCTCTTCCTATTTAGTAGCCTCTCCTAGTGGCTTTCTTCCCATTCCACTCTGGCTTTATTCCCTTCTCCTTTTCTTCTTTTCTGGTGGCCTTTCAAATTGTGATGCTCTGAAGCTCTCAGAGCTACAGTGACACTGGCTTGTCTTACCTACTGGTGGGTCATCGGAGCGGTGCCCTCCAGATCTCCGTTATTGGAGCTGAAGAGGTTCAGGCTCTTAATGTGTTCATTCTTTCTTTCATTTCATAAGGAGTTACCAAATACCTGATGTTTAAGTGCACTGAACTGTATAATAGGGATGACACTAAGGAAGACCTCTCTTGGGGGACACTCCCGGTTATCAATCCTAAGAGACATCCATCCAAGGACCTATTGGGGGAGGGAAGTGAGAAGGGTTGCTTTGGGTAGCAGGGAAATCCTTAATATGTCAAGTGTTTATACAGGTGACACAGGTCAGCTTAGTTGAGGTGACTTTCTTTGCTATACCTTGGCCTTATGTAGTCTGTGCCTTTGGTATGTGGACTAGGCTCCCTGATGCTGTACAACCAATACTTGCGGGTAGCAGTTACCTTCAACGCAAATAATAAAGGTGTTGTCACAAAGATTATCTTTTATGCCTTCACGTGAGATGTCTTCATGAGGGTCTGGAGGGGAATGAAATAATTTATTGAACCACAAAGCTGTTGTAAAAATAAAGGTAATGCTTTGGGAATTCACTGAATAGGGGATGAACATACAGCAAAGTGAATTCTAACAAGGTGTTTCAAAGCTTCCTGACTAGACATTTTAGAAGGAGCAAATGTAAACTTCTTTTTGGTACTTTTGATGAACAAAAGGGTTTTTTTGTGCACTGGAGGATTGGGAAGGTAATTTACATATATAACCACT